GTGGCCTTCCGCTTGGCCTTGACCACCTGCAGCACTTTGATCCTGCGCAGCCTGCCTCTCGCCTGCGCCATCCTGTCGTGGCGAACAGCCCGTCCTATCCTCTTGCCCCCACTGAAGTCGACCCCCAAGTTCCTCTCCTGCCCCGTGGCGCGCACCCCCAGCGGCTTCATCAGGCGCTTCTCGAGCTCCTGCCTCGCTGCTGGCACGTTCGCTAGCGCCCTGGATTTCTTCGCCGCGATCTCCAGGTCGGCCTCGCCGAGCAGTACCTTGAGATGCCTGGCCGCCAGCGTGAGGTCATTGACTGTCCGCTTGAAGCCGCCCACCCTCTTCAAGATGATGTCGTCCACGACCACCGACATCGCCAGCGTGGGCACCAGCTCCTGAAGCTTGTCCAGCGGCTCCAGCAGCAGCATCTTGAGCATGAGCGTCGCCAGCCCGTCTCCAGGCAGCACCGCCTGCTCGGTGCAGATGGCGTTGCTGACGGCTTCGTCCCGCGCCAGCCACCTGGGCGCTCGATACAAACTCACCTGCAACTTGAGCTGCCAGAGCGGGAAGCCCGTCCGCTGGGCGGCCTGGATGAGGCGCCCATGCTGCACCTGCTCGTACGCCTTGAGCAGGTCCAGGAGGATGAGGGCCGCGACCCAGCTGGATGCATCGCCAGCTTCGCGCCCCTTCGCTGTCGCCCACTCGCACTCCACGGCCTGCTGCCAGACTGCCCTCTCGCAGCCTCTGCCGCGCGCCGCCCAGAAGAACGGCCGATCGTTCCTGCGCTCCCACTCCTCCGCCAGGGGCTTGCGTAACCTCGTCTGCACCCTCGCGAGGGCGTGCACGATGGCCACGGGGCGCACGCCGCCCAGCCTCTTGGCCAAGAACACGATCTTGCTCTGGATCTGCGGCCACTCCGCGGCCTGCTCGACCGCCACCACGATGTCGATGAGGGTCTCTATCCCCTCGTCGCTGAGCTCCAGCAGCTGCCTCGGCTTGATCGCCTCGAAACCCGTGGCCGTGCCCTTCCTGAAGGACCTCAGAACTGCCCGCATCACCTCGCAGCTGGGCCTGGGGGGGCGCTCACCTAGGTCGGTCGGCCACTCCAACTCGGCGTGGCTGCACTGCACCCTCCAGATCTTGCTCCACTCCTTCTCAAGGTCGTCCAGCTCCTTGCTCAGGCTGGCGGGTCCAGCATCGATGCTGCAGTCGCTTCCCTGCCAGCCCACCGCCACTCGCGTGACCGCGTGGAGCCCTGCCGCTCCTCCTGTGAGCTGCTTCCCAACCCACTCGTCGAACTGCCTGCCCCTCTCGTCGACGTCACGCTTGGCGAGGTGACTGGCGTGCTGCTTCGCGCGGTCGGCCAGCCTCTCGAGCAGCAGGGGGTGCCAGCACGCCAGGCCACCATGCTGCAGCATCCTCAGCCAGCGCCCAGCCTCCATGCTGCAGGAGGTGCCGCCTCCTTCCCCTGCGCGGGCCTCCTCGTCCTGCTGCAGCTTCCTGACTCTCTTCGGGGCCGCCGCCACCAGCTGGGGCAAGTAGCAGATCGCGTCGACCCTGGCCCTTGGTGCTTTCAGCTGCGCCATGGCCCCCAGCGCGTGGGCCACCCTGGCCATCCACGCTGCCTCAGGCGTGAGCCTCGGCGACCTGGGGTCCTGCACCCCGCTGCGCTTGACCAGCTTGGTGGAGAAGCCGTCCGCTCTACCAACGTACCTGGCCCTCTGCTCCTCCAGCTGGTATACGTCAACCCACTCGTCCTCCGCGCACTCCAGGAAGGTGGCGAAGGCGGCTGTGAGGGCTCCCTTAGCCCCCTCCCCAGCGGCGCCCTGGGCCCGCACGTCCTGCTGCAGGTGCAGGGCCTGCCCCTCCGCGGAGGCTGCCTGCCTCTTCTCGACCCAGAGGCTGGGGGGCCTCACGTGCACTCCTTCAGCCTCTTCAACCTGAAGGGGACTACCCGCGATTCCGTACGGTGCCTGGCTCGGATGTGCACTGCCAGTCCCAGCATGGGGAGGAATGTCCGCCTGCTCCTCCTGCGCAGCGCTGCCCGCGGCACTGCTGCCCTCACTCTCCGCTGCGTCGGCTCCATGCGCTCCTGGCGCCCGAGCCCCGAGGTGCGCTGGCTGGACCTCGCCGCAAGGAGCTGCGCCGCTGCTGCTGGGCTGAGCGGCCTCCTCCTCGGCGGCAGAGGTCACCTGCCTCTTCTCGACCCAGAGGCTGGGGGGCCTCACGTGCACTCCTTCAGCCGCATCAACCTGAAAGGGCCAACCTGCGATTCCGTACAGTGCCTGGCTCGGAGGTGCACTGCCAGTCCCAGCATGGGGAGGCATGTCCGCCCGCGCCTCCTGCGCAGCGTTGCCCGCAGCGTCGCTGCCTCCTCTGTCCGCTGCGTCGGCGCCTTGCGCTCCTGGCGCCAGGACCCCGAGGTGCGCTGGCTGGTCTTCACCGCCTGGTGCAGCGCCGTGCCCTTCCGCGCCAGCTTCTCGCCTTAGCCCGCAGTTGCCGAGGATGCTCTGCCACTCCTCGCCATGCTGGACGCAGCACCTCATCAGGTTCACCTCCGTCACGCAGGCCGGTGGCGCAGGTGCGATCGGGAGCACGCTGCTTAGCGGCCCCCATCTCTCCGCCGCAGCCATCCCCTCATCTCCCGTGCCCTTCGCTGGCCTGGGGGGCTCCTGACCTGCTGCACGCTGCCCTGCTGCGCCACCACTGCTGCTGGGCTGAGGGGCCTCCTCCTCAGCACGTGGGGTGCTCCTCGCCGCGGCCTCGCCCTCGAACCTCAGCACCGAGGCGAGCTGCTCCTGCACCCTCAGCCTGGCTTGCCTCCAGCTGCTGCCGTGGTCCCTCTCACAGCACCCTTGTGGTCGAACCTCAGGAAAGGTCCGCGGCTTCTGGACCAGCCTGAAGCGCTCCTCCTCCTGCTGCCTGCGGATCTCGAGAATCACAGCCGAGTGCGGGTACACTGGCGAGGCCTCCACCACCCGCACCCCCAACGCAGCCAGCCCCTTGGATACCAGGAAGAAGTCGATGGTCCTCCCTGATGCTGCGCACGTGGGCGATGCAGGCCTGACCACCTTGCCATCGAACATGTCGGGCACCCCGCCTGCCTGCAGCTCCTCCTCCGTGAGGTTCCAATCGCCGCCCACTACGAAGTCCCTGCGGCACTGCCTCAACCTCCTTGCCAGCCTCCTGAGGCTGGACACGTTGCTGTCGTTGAGGCCGACCCCCGCCTCCAGGTAGATGTTGGCGAGCAGGAAGCCGCTGCGCAGCACGCCCGACACCCAACACAGGTGCACTCGCCCAGCCACCAGCACCGCTGCCTGCTGGTCCTGCACCTCCGCCATGCCGTGGCTCCTCCTCACCATTGTGAGGAGCCCTCCTGTGCTGAGGCCTCCTGCCGCTGACGGCACCGCGGGCGTGCCTCTCGCCCTCCATCCTTGACTCCGCAGCTGCGCCTCCGCGTCATTGCTCCTGCCCTCCAGGAGCCTCGTCTCCTGGACCAGAATGGCGTCGCAGTCCTGCACCTCGCTCACCGCCATGCACTTGCCCAGGTTGCAGAACGCATTGACGTTGACCGTGCAGATCCTCCAGACCCCGCACTTCATGCTAGGACTCCTCCTCCATCTGCTTGACCTCCGTCCGCATCTTCTTGGCGTCGCCCAGCAGCTGCTCGGCTGCTTCCCTCTTGGCGGGGTCCTCCATGCCGCACGCGATGTCCTGCCACACCTGCGCCGCCGCCTGCGACACGCCAGGCGCCTCCTCCTTGGGAGCGCCCCCCTGCTGCGCAGCTGCAGGCACCGCCGAAGGCACGGGGACCGCCGCAGCCACAGTCGCACGGGGGGGCGCCCCCGCAGCGGCGGCAGCACCAGGCAAGCCACTGAGCTCCGCCAGCACCTTCCCGAGCTTCGCGATCTCGTCCCTCGACAGGCGGCCGATCGCCTCCTGAATCGACTCCAGGGAGGCCGCTGGTGCTGCTCTCGGCTCGGCGGCAGCTGCCACCGCCTCAGCCTCCTCGGCCGCCAACCTGGCGCGCTGAGCCGCCAGCGCCTCCCGTGCCTTGGCCGCCGCCTCGTCGCACTCCTTCCGCAGCAGCACCAACTTGTCTGCGAGGCTGGCCGACTCGTTGATGGCTGCCACCGCCTTGGCCTTCGCCTGCTCCAGCTGGCCCTCCATCTTCTTGACCTGCACGACCTTGGCGTCCGCCAGCACCTGGGCCGCCTTGACCGTCTTGTCCTTGGACAGCTCGGCCCCCAGTCCGCCCTCACGCAGCCTCCGCGCCTGCAGCAGCTGCTCGCGGACCTTCGGGGGCAGGAGCGCGGCGGCGAGGGCGAAGTCGGCCTCTGCCATGCACACGAAGCCACAGCGCTGCTCCTCGCTGAGCACCACGGCGCCTCCAGCGTCACGGCCGCCACCTTCTCCACCACGCCACCACGGGGCCCGAGTGGGAGGCTTGCCGCCGCCAGCCCCACGCCCGCCGAGCCCGCCGCCAGCGCCGCCAGGAGCACCACCACCGCCGCCACCTGCATTCCACCCACGCAGCGGAGGAAAGGCGCCCAGCTGCCGCGGCGCTGGCCACCCCGCTGGCTGGCACCCCTTGCGACAGCACGTCCTCTCGGCGAAGTTGTAGTAGTCGCACACCGAGCACTTCCACTTCGCAGGCCACGCCGCACGTCCGCCTCCTCCACGCCCAGCACCCACGCCGCCGCTGCCCGCCATGGCGCGCGTGAGTATGGAAGGAGGCCGCCCGACTGCCAGAGTGCACACACTCTTGCCTGCGCACGGTAGTGCGATCCAGTGAAGCACGGAGGCTGAAAGCCCCCCGAGCAACCCATCTTGAGCCAAAATGGCTACAGACGGAGGAGGAGGAGGAGGAGGAGGAGGAGGAGGAGGAGGAGGAGGAGGAGGAGGAGGAGGAGGAGCGAGGAGCGAGGAGCGAGGAGCGAGGAACGAGGAGGATAAGGAAGGGCAGGAGGGAAATCCTGACTGTACACGCCTGGCCAACTGGGTCCCTCTGGCTCCTGGCCCGCGGGGCTGCGCGGACTCGCGCGGGCGGCCGCGCCGGGCGCCTGCGGCCCCTTCTCCTTCCAGGCCCGGTACCCCTGGCAAGACGAGGCCAGGACGAGGATAAACTCGAGTACCCAGACATGATCGCGTCGTGAGAACAATCAGGACGGGAAATTTTGGCCAATTTCGGCCTCGGGGGGCCCTCGCTGGGCCTCGGGACCGTCCAACACCGACTCAGGATGAAAAACCGGCCCCGGGGTAAGGGTCTGGACTTCCGGGGGCGCCGTCCTGAAAAAATCAGGACGTCGCATGTCTGGGTAACGATACAGTCGACCCGTACCACAAGGACGCGCGATAAGGATGCAAGGGCCTTGGAAGGCCATGTCGACACTTTGCGGCCGACGAAAGCGGGGCACGGCCGACGAAAACGGCCAAGGATGGACCAAGGATAGGCCGAGAAGGCGAGGATGCAACGGTACCCTTGGGAAGCTTGCCCATCCTTACCATGCGGGTTGGCTGTAGGAGCTCGTCCACAAGAAACCTTCCACAAGAAACCCAACCATGAGACCCCAGGGCGTCTTTTGTTTTTTTTGTGTGGGAACGTCACGCTTTCCACAACAGAGCCATCGAAACCCCCAAAAACCCAGGAGACCCTGGAGGCAAGCAGGGTGTTTCCTGGCATGGGTCTCCTCTGAAAGGATACATCGAGAATCTCTGAGATCCAGCGGTTCTGGAGGAAGGCTTGGGCGCCGCGGCCCTCTCAAAGGAGCGCGTCCCGGAACGCTCCGAGAGCGTTCTGGAACGCCCTGGAGCGGATTTAGATCCTCGTCCCAGCGCTGTCCGACCTGACGGTCGCCCAGCCGCTGGTAGGTGTTCGCAACGAGGTCGCAGGCGAGACGTTGCAGGTGCGCGGCGGCGCTGGTGCTGCCGCTGTCCTCGCACGCGGCCCCAAAGGCCCGGCGCAGGATACTCGAGGAAGCAGAACAAGCGGCACAAGACGACGACGGCGGCGGCGACGACGACGACGACGACAAGGGCGACGGCGACGACGACGACGACGACGACGGCGACGACGACGACGGCGACGACGACGACGTCGACGACGGCGACGGCGACGACGGCGACGGCGAACGGCTACGGCGCGCTCTCTTCGGGGCTCCGCGCGGCTTCCTTGGAGCTGCGCAGGCCCCCCGCGGCTGGCGTCGGGGGCCGCGTCTGGAGAAGCGCCCACAAGCCCAGGCCAGAGCAATCAGAAATGAGAGGATCTTGGCCCCGAAAAAATCCAAGAACTCTCGAAGAATCAGAAGTGAGCAGTGTGCAGAGGGACATGCCTGACTTGACGGGCGCTGACCAGCATCTCGAGGCAAGTCCCGCCGCGGCGACGGGGGCCTCCCATGAGGCCCAGGCAGGCGGACAAGAAGGGGCAAGGGGGTAGCGTCAGGTCGGGCCTGTCCCCCTACAAGGGGGTTTTGGGGGGGAAAACAAATTACGCTACCGAGGATGCCCACATACTTAATTTAAATATTATGTGTTTGCTTGCGTGAGGGTGCAACTCCTGCGCACCCTCTATGGTATCGAGAAAATGCCACGCCTGCTATGCCCTGGACGACCGTCGTGCATAGCGGCCGCGGTGAGGGACCACCCCCTGCGCACCCCCTATGGTGTCGAGAAAGTGCACACCTGCTATACCCTGGACGACCGTCGTGCCATAGCGGCCGCGGTGAGGGATCACCCCTGCACACCCCCTATGGTGTCGAGAAAGTGCCACGCCTGCTATACCCTGGACGACCGTCGTGCATAGCGGCCGCGGTGAGGGATCACCCCCTGCACACCCCCTATGGTGTCGAGAAAGTGCCACGCCTGCTATGCCCTGGACGACGGCGGATAGCGGGGCCGCGCTCAGGGACCACCCCTGCGCACCCCCTACGGTGTCGAGAAAGTGCCACTCCTGCCATGCCCTGGACGACCGTCTCGGATCGCGGCCGCGCTCAGGGACCACCCCCTGCGCAGCCCCTACGGTGTCGAGAAAGTGTCACTCCTGCTATGCCCTGGACGACCGTCTCGGATAGCGGGGCCGCGCTCAGGGACCACCCCCTGCGCACCCCCTACGGTGTCGAGAAAGTGCCACTCCTGCCATGCCCTGGACGACCGTCTCGGATCGCGGCCGCGCTCAGGGACCACCCCCTGCGCAGCCCCTACGGTGTCGAGAAAGTGTCACTCCTGCCATGCCCTGGACGACCGTCTCGGATCGCGGCCGCGCTCAGGGACCACCCCCTGCGCACCCCCTACGGTGTCGAGAAAATGCCACTCCTGCTAATTCTGCCCGGGACGACCGTCGTGCATAGTGGCCGCGGTGAGGGATCACCCCCTGCGCACACCCTGTCGAGAAAGTGCCACTCCTGCCATGCCCTGGACGACCGTCTCGGATAGCGGCCGCGGTGAGGGACCACCTCCTGCGCACCCCCTATGGTGTCGAACACCGCGCTCAGTGACCACCACCAACGCACTCCCTCTGGTGTCGAGAAAGTGCTATGCCTGCCGTGCCCTGCGCATCCTACACGTGCGTGTTGTGTATGGCGTGTCATGTGCGCTGTGCTCTGCTGTGCAGAGCTGTGCTGTGCTGTGCCGAGCTGAGCTGTGCTGAGCAGCGCTGTGTTGTGCTGCGCTGCGCTGTGTTGTGCTACGCGTGTCTCATGTACGTGCCGTGCAGGTGTTGCGCGTGGGTGAGGGAGTGTATGTGTGTATGTGTGTTTGTGTCTGTGTGTGTGTGTGTCTGTGTGTCTGTGTGTATGTGTCTGTGTCGGAGTGCCTGTGTATTTGTATGTATGTGTGTCACGTCTGCCACGCTTTGCGGCAGATGGAGGTGTGTGCGGGAGACGCGGGTGCGACGCGGCAGGGAAGACAACCAGAACCCCACGAAACATGTGGGACAAATGCTCAAAAAATGCTCGAAAATGGTCAACAAGTCGTCCCCAGACTATTGTTTTGTTACTATGTTTGAATATTCCTCCTGTAGAGGGACAGGCCCGACTTAACACAAGTGTAGTCGACTCGGCCCGGACACTTGAGACGTCAATCGGCGGCGAGCGAGGGGGGGGAAAGGAGAAGGAGAAGGCTTTCTCAGAAGGCGGCGAGCCTTCTCAGAAGCCCTCGCACCTTCTGAGAAGCTTTTTTGGTCTGCGCTGAAGGCTCAGAAAACATCTCATCAAGCTCGGGGACTTCCGAACCTTCTGAGAAGGCCTTCTCCTTCTCACTTCCCCCCCTCGCTCGCCACCGAATCAACCCGGCCCCAAAATTACTTTCGCTAAGACGAAAACAACCGTCAACTCAACTCCAACACCTCGGTCGTCAAGACGAGAGGAGCTGTCAACTCGGCCCCGACACTTTTTTCGTCAAGACCAAAATCGTCTTGGCCCATCAGCTCGGCCCCGACGCTTTGTTCGTCAAGCCGGAGGGTGTGGCGAGGGGGGCCGTCAAGGGGGTTCGCCAGCTCGGAGGGAGGCCGTCGTGGGGGTTCGTCACCCCAGATAAGAGGCCGTCAAGGGGACTCGCTCGTCAAGGGGGCGCGTCAATTTGGAAGGAGGCCGTCAAAGAGTGTTCGACAACTCGAAAGAAGGCCGTCGAGACCGCCCAGGAGTTGCGTACTAACTTGGGAGGAGGAGGAGGAGGAGGAGGAGGAGGAGGAGGAGGAGGAGGAGAAGGAGAGAGACATCTCCTGGACGTTCTTCGTGAGAACGATGACCGGCTGTAAAGCCCGCTTGAGAAGCCATTAAAAGCCGGACTTACCCGCCGATGCTGGCACACACACACACACACGCCAGCGTTGACGCATCAACGCCGGCGCCGACACCAGCACCGACGCCGACGCCCATGCGGGCACCGACGCCAACGCCCGAACCAACACCGACGCCCGCGACGACGCCCACGCCTGCGCCTACGCTGGCACTGGTTGGGTAATTATGGGGATGTGTAGTTCCCCCGGGACAGGGATTGATCAAATAGGGCCCCGCTAGGGTCCGGCCTGAGCCAAAAAAGCTTGAGTCCCCCTCGAATCCCCTTGGTGTCTTCTTGGAGACCCCCTTGAGGCTGGTGCCTACGCGGTAGCGAAATAGCCCGGATGAAGCCCAGGATGCAGCCGCATCAAGCAACATCAATCAGAGCTAAACAGGATTATGCCTGATCAGATGTGCTTTCGGCCACGGACAACCATGCCGACGCCGATGCTGAATTTAGCCTTCCAGGAGTTGCAGGGAGGGGGCCCAACGCAGATCCACCGATTCCGCTCAGACCTCTGAGAATTTATGCTTGTGCCGCATTTTCCCCCTCGAGATGGTCAGGGTGCAATTGTCCGGCGCGATGCCAGCGCGGACCATCCTCTCCAGCCACACCTGAGCGGACTCGGAGCCCAGGTTCGTGGCGTGGACTTCCACTAGCGAGTTGAAGGAGACCGCGTTCGGCCTGACGCCCGAGGCGACCATGCGGTCGAACCACTGCGCGGCGGCCGTGTGGTCGTGCCGCTTGCAGCAGCAGTGCAGCATCGTGTTGAAGCAGACGACGCTCGGCGCCACACCGCACCGGACCATCTCCTGAAACCAGTCTGCAGCACGCTCCACGTCGCCCACATTGGCGTTGGCGTGGATGACGGAGCCGAAGGTGACCGTGTCGATGTTGAGCCCCACCTCATACATGCGCTGCAGCCAGTACTCGGCCCTGTCGACGAGCCCGGCCCTGGCGCAGGCGTTGATGACGCTGTTGTACGACTTCTCGTCCGGCTGCAGGCCGCTCTCCCGCAGCTGCTGCAGCCAGTGCTCCGCCCTGCCGGGATCCGTGGCCTCTTTGGACGCCCGAAATGGGTACGGCAAGAATGGGTACTATGCCCAACAACAAATGTTGTCCCGAACCAACAGCGGCCGCTGTTGGGCAGGCGGCCTTCTGTCTCGAATGGACACAGGCCGCGGCGGCGTGGACAGCGAGTCCTGTGTAAAATGAACAGGAACTGCTGTTGGGCATGGTACCCATTCTTTCCGTACCCATTTCGGGCGTCCAGAGCCTTGGCACAGGCGTTGATGAGCGAGTTCAGCATGATGGCATCCGGGCGCACGCCGAAGCCCGGCATCCTCGCGAACCAGGCCTCGGCCCGGCCGATCTTGCCGCTCTTGGCGAGCGCGTCGAAGAGCGTGCTGAAGGACGTCTTGCAGGGCGGGATGCCGGCGTCGACCATCTTGCCTCGGGGATGGGCAGACCTCCCTGTTGTAAAGCGTGGTTTAGGGAACACGACCTCGGGCCCAAACCCGGCGGGCGCAAGCCTGGAAAGTGACGGCCGCGGCGCCCTCTCGAGAACCGAGAACGGACGATTCACTGGTCGACGTGTCAGGGTAGGAGGTCTGTCCACCCCCGATTGCCCATCCAAATCTCGGCATTGGCGTCGTCGCGGGCGCGGGCACACGCGCCGAGGAGGGTGTTGTACGTGATCAGGTTGGGCTCCACGCCCGCCTGTCCCATGGCGTTGAAGTAATGGGTCGCCAGAGGGACGTCGGCCGCCTTGGCACACGCGTCGATTAAGGAGTTGAACGTGACCGCGTTGGGGCGGAACCCGTCGCTCACCATGCGCTGGACGATCCAGCCAGCTGCCGCGGGGCCCCCGTCCCTGGCGCAGGCGTGGATGAGCGAGTGGTAGAACACCTTGTTGTGGCACGCGGCGCAATGCGCCTCGCCTGCCGCGGCGTCCAGGGCGCGGTTTGCTCCGGCTTTATCTCCCGCGCGCAGGAGCCTCAGCACCGCGCCCGCGCAGCCGCACTTGTCCGACGCAGCGCTGGCCTGCACGTGGCCCCGTGATGTTCGGGTCGGGCGAAAGGGGGGATAGCAAAGGGGGGTCTGAGAATCAGCTCACGTGGCTGCTTTTCCTGGCGCCTCCCGGCGCCGGAGGCGGCCATGGATCGAGGAATGGGCCCCTCGGTGGGGCCGAAGCCAGCTGCATGCAACAAATTTCGTCGTAACCCCCCCTTTCCCAATCCCAGGGGAACAAAAAGTGGCATAAACAGAAAAACTCGGAGGTCCGCGCGGATTTCTTGGATCGGCGCTGGACCCCCCTCCCTGGCGCGCGGAGCGCGCCAGGGGCGGCGCCGGAGGCGCCGCTGGGGGGCCCCAGCGCCGATCCGAGAAATCCACGCGGACCTCCGAGTCTTCATGTCTATATCCCTTTTCGCTCCCCCAAATCCCCGCCTTTCGTCCGGCCCGAGATGTCGGTCCCAAGCGGCCCTGGGGGGGCGCCCAGCCCGCCATCGTGAGCTGCGGGGCCGGAGCCGAAGAATCGGTCCTAAGGTGCCCTGGCGGGGTACTCCGCGGGCTCCGGGGCACAGATTGAGCCCACGCGGCCGCGGGGTGGTCGGCGGGGCCTGCTGGCGGCCAGGCGTCGTGGGCGAAGCAGATATGTATAATGGCATATGATATGTGATTTGTATATATACACATATATAGAGAAATGTATGTATATCATATACGCACACGCGTACACACAAACACACACATGCACACATGCAAATACACACATGCACACATACACACGTACATACATTCAGACATACATGCATGCGTACATACACACATACACATACATACACACACATACACACAGACGTTCTCACATACACATACACGCATACACGCACACAAATACACACATACCTACATACCTACATACATACACACATACACACATACTCACATACATACTCACATGCATGCATGCATGCATACATACATACACACATACATAGACACGTACACACGTACATACACACACACGTTCACACATACATAAGTACATGCATACACACATCCATATGTAGATATGGCCAATCATACAGACATACATACATTCATACATTCACATGCGTACATACATATCTACATAGCACATCCATTCTACAGGCATACATATATTTATAATATATATATATATATATATTATATATATATATATATAATATATATATATAATATATATCCGCCGACCCCTTGTGGGTCTCTAAACGTGTGAAGTAGTTCCCCCCCTAACCCCCCCCCTGGGGCCCCAAACCGGAGATTCGACCCCCCCCCCCGGGCCCACGACGAGCGCATCACGGGGCTCTTTTGGGCCCAGAAGGGGATCAAGACGGGCCAATAAGGCCCCAAGACTCCTCCAAGACGGCTCACGAGAGCTCCGAGGCGCCAAACGAGCGTTCCCAGACGCCCAAGATGGCCCCAAGACGAGCCTAGAGGCCTCCAAGACGGCCCAAGAGGCCTCCAAGACCAGTCCTCAGAAGGGCCGAAGCGCCGAAAATCGTCAAATTCCTATGGGAAAACGTACATTTAGATCATATGCTACTTGTCGGCCTTCACGGCGTTGAAGACGGTCCCAGAGCACCCCGGGACCGCCCCAAGAGGCCCCCAAGAGGCGCCCACGTCGGCCCAAGAGAGACGGTCCAAGAGGCCCCCATGACAGCCCAATAGGGCCCCAAGACGGCCCCAAGAGGTGCCCAAGAAGGGAAACCCGAACCGACAATCCGAGCCTTCCGCCCCAAGACGGCCCCAGAACGCCCCAAGAGGCCCCAAGAGGCCCCCAAGACGCCCACAAGAGGCCCCAAGAGGCCCCCAAGAGGCTCCAAAACGGCCTCAAAACGGCCCCCAAGAGGCTTCGAAACTGCCTCCAAAGTCCCGCGAGAAGCCCCCCAAGAGATCCCAACGATCACCGCACAAGTCTCATATCAACAACCCAAGCCCAAGACGGCCCAGGATGGCTCCAAAACGGCCCAAGATGGCTCCAAGACGGCCGAAGACAGATCGAAGACGGCCCAAGATGGCCTCAAGATGGCCTACAAGGCTTTCGCTATCGCCCACGAAGTCTCCAAGAAGACCCCCAGGACATCTGAAAGAGGCGCACATTACGCATTTCATTACATTTCCATTGCGTTGTTGAACATGTTTGCAATTGTTGCCTTTCCCGGCTTCCGTCGGCTCACGTAGCCCAAGAGCCTCCAAGATCGCCCCACGGCGCCCCAAGAGGGCCTCAAGACGGCCCCAGAGAATCCCAACACGGCCCAGGACGCCTCCCAATTCGGCCTAAGACGACCCCAAGACGGCAAAACCTGTCTCCAAATTGGTCCCAAGCTGGTGCAAGACGCCTCTAACCCAAAACCCATAACCCAGAGCCTTGTTTCTGTGTCCCCTTCCTCCTCCTCCTCCTCCTCCTCCTCCACCTCGGCCGCCAGGTGGGTGCAAAACTGCTTTCCAGAGGTCCCCGAGAGGCGTGCCGCGAGATCCCTATACACATACAAAAGCCTCTAACCCATAGCACATATCCCAGAGTTTCGTCTCTGTGTCCCCGTCCTCCTCCCCCTCTCCTCCTCCTCCTCCGCCTCCTCCTCGCCCACTCCTCCTCTTCCTCCCCCGCCTCGCTCCTCTTCCTCCCCGATTCTTCTCCCCCCATCCTCCGCCTCGCCCCCCATCCCTCTCTCCCCCTCCCCCCTGTCCCCCCCCGCACGCGCGCCCCCGATTGGGCATCATTTGCAGGTCTTGCATATCAGGGTGCCCTTTTTTTGCATCGCGTGCGACGTTGGCAGGGTTCCCGGAGAACGCCGACTTCGGTAGTCTTCTCTTGCACGCGCCGCCGCACTGATACGCCTGGCAACTGCGGGCTGTGAACCCGAGGTTCTTGCAGCCTCCGCGCACCACTTTCGCTCCTTTCGCCGCTCGACGACCCTTCCACTTGCTTATGCTTCAAATGTTTCGTGTCCGAGAACGCTTCTCCGCACGCCGCGCACGTCAGTGGCTTCGCGTCCGCCTCGGCTTTCCGCTTGCGATTCGCTGCCTCCGCATTCCCCCGTCGCACCTCTTTCTCTCGTTCTTCCGCGCATTTCCGACAGAGCCTTTCCCCCGCAGCATTGTGCTTCTTCTGAGCTTCCGACATATCCGCCTTTTCGTCATATAGCGACAGGCACTTACCGTTCGTACATCGCACTGTTCCGACGCTCTGATTCCACTTCGCGCTGTCTTTCCGCGATTCTGCTCGGCTTTGATACCGCTGCACTTCGCGCAGTACATTGTCCTAATCCTTTTCGTTTCCCCGTCGTCGGCCGCCGCGTCCGCGCTCCGACCGCTACCATGGCGTGCCGCGTCGTCACTCTCTCCTCTCGTTGCCCACCCTCTGCACGTCTTGCACCATTTCTCGCCCGCGCTTTTCATCTCCTCCGTGCACTCTTTGCAGAACGCCGGCCTTTCCTTTCTCTGGAACTCGTACTTCGTGAACGCCTCTACCAACAACCTCCGCCGGCAGCGCTCGCACTGGTCTCGTGGCATTAGTTCCTCTTCCCACTCATCCCACTCCACTCTCTCCCCGCGAAGCACCTGGTGGTGATGATGATGATGACGAAACGCCCAGTGAGGACGCGGGGGAACACCAACCGAACCACCGCTTCGGCCGCACGTAGCGTCCTAGCTCAGCCCCCGTAGGTCACGCGATGGCCTCGGGCTCGTAACGTGCCTGGACCTAGCAATGCGAAACAAACCGCGAACACCTTCTCGGTTCCCAAGCGTGTGAGACTCGTCCCCTCCACAGCCCCGAGGTTCCCCGTGCGGGCTGAGGGATGCCCCCAAAAACAACCCCGCCTCACCAAAGAAGTCAAACCCAGCAAGAAATATACGGGCCCCAATCCAACGCTTCCACCCTTTGGGCATCTCCAGAACGATGCCAAGATTGCATTAGCGTCCTTTCTTTTCCGATGGGCCCCCCGGGGCCTCGAGATGACCCCAAGCGGAGTCCACATGGCCCCAAGAGAGGTCATTATGGACCCCTACACGACTCCCCAGCCCGATTCAAGCGAGCCGGCAAGACCGCCAAGATGAGGGGTCGGCGGATGTGGCGTAAGCCTATATATATATATATATATATATATATATATGCGCATGCATGCATCAATGCATGTGTGCGTGCATGCGTACATACATATATACATGCATGCATTCATGTCTGCATACATACATACATACATACATACATACAAACATGCATACCTACACAACTACATGTCTACATGCATGTATGCACATACACATGCACATACACACATACATACACACATGCACATACACACACATACACATACACATTCACTAACGCATACACACATCCATACACACGCACACCCATCCATATACACACGCATATATACACACATATGGTATATGCGTACGCTGCATACATACATAACTGCATACGTACATGCACACATGCATGCACGTATTCATATATACGTTCCATGCAGCACATATAAACATAAATGTATACATATACACATACATACGTACATCTATATACATTTATGCACACATATCATCTGCCCGTGGCCGCGGCCTCGCGGGCGAGGCCCCTGGGAGGGGACCCCGCGTATTCGGGGCGTTTGTTCGCGGATGCCCCGCGCGGGACGTATCCGTGCGACCGCGTATCTGCGGGATTGCGCCCCAGAATCCAGACAGCGAGGGCACGGATACGGATATGTTGGCCGCTCGTGAGGGGGGTCTGCGCTGCCCGCCTCCTCCTCCTCCTCCCTCCTCCTCCTCCTCCTCATCCTCCTCCTCCTCCTCCGCCTCCTCCTCCGCCTCCTCCTAGCCCCTCCTGGCCCCAGGGAGGGGGCCATCCCCGCGCCACGTGGGGGGGGCGCAGCGCGGGGGAGCCGCCATGGGCTCCGGGATGTGAGGGCGACCAGGCCAGGAAGTGGATGCTCTTCGGCAAGGTCGTCGAGGCTTTTGCAGTGAAACGCGGTCGTGAAGCTCGGTGTGATGATTTGGAGGAGCTCGGGTTCTTTCGTTGTGAGTTGCGTGGTGCACACCGCGCAGGGCAGGGGACACGTGGAGCGCTCTCGCCACGTGAAGACGGCAGGGACCCTTCGCCTCCTGATTCGAAGCCTTCGTCGACTGCTTCCTCCCGTCTTTGAATGCGTTCGTGAAGAGCGACTGGATACGGCAGGTTCGTGTCGTGTCGACTCCGGCCTTGGTTTCTGACACCGCGGGGATCGTTCAACCTTGAACGATCGGCCGTTTCCGAATCGTCCAAATCGTTCCACATCGAACGATTCTGGGTCGCCCGCGGCGTTCAAAGTTGAACGCCGCTGGCGGGGTCGCCGCCGGTCGGCATGACATGAACCTACTGTACAGGTGCTCGAATTCATTAAGGTGCGGGTTTGGCACACTGTCGTGTGTCGAGCCCGGAGAGGCCTGAGGGCCACGGGGGGGATTGCTACCTCGTGGAAGGGCATCGGTCCCCTCCCCCGGCCGCGTTTGCCGATGCCACTCGGGATCGTCGCACGTTGATTTTCGTCGGAACGCTGGGCCATTGGGTTCGGCACGCGTCCCTGCACAGGTAGGGCCGCTTCGGGCTGCGTCCCAGGGCTGT